GTAGTAGTAGTAGTAGTAGTAGTAGTAGTAGTAGTAGTAGTAGTAGTAGTAGTAGTAGTAATGGTAGTAGTAATGGTAGTAGTAGTAGTAGGAGGAGGAGGAGGAGGAGAAGGAGGAGGAGGAGGGGAAGAAGGAGGAGGACGAGAAGAGGGAGGGGAGAGGGAAGAGCCATGGAGGATGATTGGGAAGTTGAGGATCTGGAGGCAGAGGTGCCGTGGAGGTTTGGGAAGAGGAGTTGTGGAGGAGGAGGACGAGGAGGAGGGAGAAAAGGAGGAGGAGGAGGCGCCACCTCGGCAGCCAGCGATGGATCCGTGACCGAGAGTCACCATTCCTGGGCGGAGGGGGTAGAGGGATGAAGAGGACAGTTCGGGAGAAAAAAGGGACATCCCTCCTATTGCATTTTTTCCATAGCGTTTTCGGCCTCCGGTGGCCGGTTTCGGGCCCCAGGGCTGCCCACCATCGACCCACCGACGCGGGCCGAAAAGTGTGCCCTGGGCAACACAAGGTCGGGACTTCCATGGGCCCGGCAAGACATCGAACGCCTGGGCGCCACCCTCCCTCCTCGGCTGGGCCATCCTCCGCCCCAAAGCGGGGCATACGGTGCGCCCGTGGCGGCCACCAGCCGCGGTCGCTCCCCGCACGTGCGCGCGCGCTCGGGCTCGAGGTCAAGCCGAGCCGTCGCCCCTGCCGGCCGCCGCGCGGGCCTGGCGGCCGGCCCGCGCAGCTTGGTCGGCCAGTGCCGCGTGGGGCTGCCACCAGGGGGGCCGCCAGCTCCTCCGGGGGGTCGAGGATCGAGGATGGGGATCGAGGGTCGACTCGCTTCTGGGCGCCTCCGAGAGTCCTGGGTGGTTGTGGGTGGGGCAAGGGGGGTCCGCCCTTTTCCTGGAAGAGCGGGCGGCCCCCTTGTGTGGAGACCTCGCTCTCGCAGGCTGCACCCGAGCAACACCGCTGGGCCTGCCCAGGGCCATCCTGGGGCCGTGGGTGGTGTAGTGGGGAAGGGGGGAGAGCTTCGTCGAAGGAGGCTGCTTCTTAGAAGGCGCGGGCCTTGTCTGCAGATGCAGGGCCGGCACCTTCTACGAAGCAGCCTCCTTCGAAGAAGCCTCCACCCCTCCCCCATACTCCTCTGTGCGCGCCGCCAGGAAAGTCAGAAGCCGGTTAAGGCCCACCACGCTTCGGCGCGACGCGGTGTCCACCGTCAAGTCCCCCCCGCTCCCGCCCCGCGAGCGGAGCGACACGGCATCCGCCTGCAGCGCATAGCGCGTCGCCAGGGCCGCCGCCGCGACACGCTGACCAAAACGTTAAGTCGGGCCTGTCCCTCTACAGGAGGAAGATTCGAAAATAGCAAACGAATAGTATGTGGACGATTCCTCCGTATTTTTGAATATTGGTTGAAGATTTGTTGACTATTCTTAATTTGTCAACCAAAATCCGCCTGTAGGGGGGCATGCCCGACCTAACCAAAACATCATGGCCGTGCACTCCGGGCCGGGCACTTTTCTTCTTCGCCGCACAGCGCGGGAGAAGCAGCGGGCTGGGAGACGGCAGGCGCTGACTGTCCGGCAGCAAGAGGGGGTGCAAGGGGGCACTGGCGGGCGGTCGCGGGAAGGGAAGAATCATGCGGTTCCAGAAGGGACCCCAGGGAAAGGGACTTTTGATACGGGCGATGCCGATCTCCCAACAGTTTCGTTGGGCTTCGCCCTCAAGGTCGCTGCACGACGCTTTCGCTCGCACTTTTCGAGGGCTCAAATGCAACGCCGAGGTCTCAGAATTCCACGTCGCTGGCGCCCCCTCGGGAAACGCATCAAAAATAGAGGGGGGGGGGACCGCATGGCGCTCGCGGCCAGCCAGAGCTGCCCAGGGCGGAGGCGCAGGGGCGCGAAGCTCATCCGGCTTCGCGCGCGTCGCGGCCTGGGCCGCAGAGGTGCCCTTCGCAAGGGCGGCGGCGCGAGGGCGCGGAGAAGGGCGCGCGCGTCGCGCACCGCGGGGTGCGATCAGCGATGTTCGGTTCAAGTCGGGCACGTCCCTCTGCAGGAGGAAGATTCAAACATAGTCCATAGATAGCCAGGGGACGATTCTCGCACGATTTTTCAATATTGTTGAATACGTTTTACTCTCGTCGAAAATCCGCCTGTAGGGGGACATGCCCGACCTAATGTCAGCTGACCCAGATGCTCAGCCATAAAACCGCGACAGTCGGTTTTCCGAGAAGGAAAACGTACCGATACCGCTACTCTTCACACGTTTCCGCCTTTGGGCCTCCTCGGAGGCCCTCGTCGTCACCGCTGGATTCGCCTCGAAGTTCTGGTCAGAGCGCACCCCGGGAGAGATTTGGGGAGCAGCGGCAACGGTACCGTTTTTTGGTTCCCCAGGTGTTCCTGTGTTGTCGGCCTCTTGGGGACTCTTTCTGGCCCCAGGGCCGTCGAAAACGGATCAGGGTGAAGAGCTTATTTTTCACAGGCTCTGGCAAGTTTACTTGCATGGCTGGGGGGGCGGGGGCTTAAACCTGAAGCTTGAAGCAAGCCGCAAACGACCTGCACGTGCGGAAAGCACGCAAGGCAAAAGGCATGTGCACGCTGGTGTTCGTTTGAGGAGGGGCGAGAGGGGGGACCGGGGGGGGGGGGGGAGGGCGAACGCCATGCAAGTAAACTTGCCCGAGCCTGACAAAAAAACAGGCTCGACGAGACGGTCCCGGCGTAGAGAGTTCGGGGCCCCTGGGGCCCACGTCGCGAAGCCGAGGCGCCGGAGGGAGAGGGGAGGCCCTCCCAGCGGAAGCCAGTGGGGTGGATTCGCCGTCCGCGGCTGGTGTGCAGACCCCGGGGGGGCATGCCTGGGACCCCCCCGGGCCAGGCTGTGCAGGCCCCCCGCGGGTGTGCCAGGAGGTCGTTGCAGGGGTCAAGGCGGGCACGTCCCTCTACGGGAGGAATCTTCAAGAACGGTGCAAGAATAGTCTGGGGACGATGTCTCGAGTATTTGCTCACTAGTTTCGATGACTTTTTCATTATTCTTTGTCTGTCCTCCATAATCCGCCTGTAGGAGGACATGCCCGACCTAGCGTTGGGGCCCAGGGTGGCCGTTGTCAGGCGCGGTGGTGGTGCTCGCAGACACCCGACACCCGGCCGCCGGGGCCGTGTCGTGGCCGCCAGGCATCCCCTTGCAGCGGGCGCCCTGCTCGCAGGCCGGGAGTGTACCGTCGGGCGCCGATGGTCGAGAGGACCGCGCACGCGAGGGGAAGGGAGTCGAGGGGGCAAGAAGAGTGGCGCTGAGTAGTCAGAGGTCCAAGCTGGCGTCTGCTTTGCTCTACCTGGATACCTGGGCCTGCCATCTGCGTGCTGGCACGCAGCTTTCCCTCTGGCCAGGGCCGTGTCGCCTGGCCAGTGTTGCGGGTTGCACCTTGCTGAGGCTGCCGGTGAATGCGAAACGGACATTCGGTGAAGGGGGGGGGCAGGATAGGGAGGGGTCGAGAGCGTGGCGGAAGAGCAGGGGGATCGAGACGGAGGAGGAATGTGACGACGAGCCAAAACACGGGGAGAGGTGGAGAAGTCAAAAGAAAGATAAGGAGGACCAGCGTACATCCAATTTGCATCAACGATGCTGCTATAGACACCCTCCGGTTTCAAGTCCCCTCTCCAAAAGTCCTTGCAAACCTTCCGCTTGATTCGATGGAGCGCCCCTTTGAAAGACCAGCACCTTATAGGCTTGTTATTCCTGTGAGAGCCCCGTTGTGGAATGAAAGTGCCTTGCATCCTCTTTGATGAAAGTGAGTGGGGAGTGCGAATACGAAGGAAAGCAAGAAGGTATGATTAGAGGGGTGCGATCGTACAGGGCAACGGCATGTCCAGCGCGGCACCCGTTTTGACAAAGGAGCGCCCCCCATCATTGGAACGGCGCATCAGTTTACACTTCTTGTGGCGAATGTCCAGGAAGTTTCAAACAACACTCCGATTTTGAAAAAGAGCCGTCCCATCTTTGCAGCCGCTTCATTTATGGATATATGGAAGAACTCCCAAGCGAGAGCTCCATTTTGCAAAGGCGCCCTTCTCCATCCTTGTAACTGCTGCACGCTGTCAAGATGAATGTGTGCGTGACACAAAGGCGAGAGCCACATTTTGAAGCAACAGCCGTCCTTCATCCTTGTAGTTGTTGCGACCAGCCAAGACGAATGGGCGCGGCGCTCAGGCGAGAGCCACATTTCGAGAACGACCCCCCTTCATCCTTGTAGGTGTCGCAAGCTTGTATGACGACTGTGCGCGGCGCTAGGGCGAGAGCCACATCTTAAAACGACCCCCCTTCCATCGTTGCAGCTGGTGCAGAAATAAGAAAAGCGTGTGCGCGGTGCCAAGGCGAGAGGTCCATTTTGAAATAGTCCCACCCTCCATCTTTGAAACGGCTGTAGGAGCCAATGTGTGCGGCGCTAAGTGGAGAGCCACATGTTCAAGACGGCCCCCCTCTATTCATGAACTTGTTGCATTGAGACAACTATTCGCGGCGCTGAGGCGAGAGCCCAATTTCAAAATGACCCCCTCCATCCGCGAAGCTGTTGAGAATGTCAACCCTCGAGGTCAGGATCGCAAGTGGTGAGGAAGTCTCCGGCGAACCGCCCGGCCCGCCCTTCCGACATGCATGGGGTCTCGACCGGGAGATTGGGGAGGAGCTCCGTGGGGCGGACCCCTGCCTGCCGCCTTTCTTCCCCCCTTCCCCCCCCCCCTGCCGCCCTCTTGCCCCCCCTGCCTGCCGCCTCCCCCCTCCCTCCCCGGGGGGGCGCAGCAAGGAGAGTGCACCCAGTCCTCCCGGGCAACAACGGGCAGCACGACTTCAACCTGGTCGAGGCGGCGGGGGGTGGCAGTTGCCACCGCGGGCGGAGAAGGAGCGTCCGGCGTGCAGGGAGCGGGCGAGGCCTGCCAGGGTGCCCTTGGCGATCGGGTTTCTGGTCAGAGCGCGCCAGAGGCCACTGTCGAGGAGGAGGGTCCTAGACCTACCACACTATCCGTTGTTCAACAGTGGCGTTACCCCCCCCACACTCCTCCTCCCGCCCGTTCCGTGACCCCGTATACCACGACAGAACAATCTGGAGCGACGAGGAGCACTTATTGTAGGCAGTGTCAAGAGCTCAGGGGACCATGCTTTCAAGAGACACGGCGCCTGATGTCGGAGGAGGAGATAGATCATGAGGAGAAACATGGGTCAACCCACCTGCGCTGTCAGGATCTAGTTTTGAATCCGCAGCGCCGCGCGTCTCACATCCTCCTCACCTCCTCCCGCCTCCCTTCTCTCCCTGCCTGCTCTTCGTCGGCACGCGTATGCGGCACACCCCATCACGCGCCTGCTGCCCCCATGTAGGAAGCTCAATGGCACAATGGTGGGGGTGTCCACATGACCTCCCCGTGCCTATTTGATTACACCTCTCACCCAGATCGTGCCCCCAGGTGTGGGTCCACATGGCGTACCCGCGCCTTCATTAGTTAGATTTACCTAACAGCTTTTGCTGATAGGTTTCTAGTGGGATCAAAAGAGCATCTTGACGCCCCAGGGGGGTCTGGGCGGGATCCGGACAGATCCGCACAGATTCGGCAGCCCCAGGAATCCTTAGGAATCCGAATGAATTCTTAGGAATCCTTAGGAATCCATTCCAATAACACCATTCCAAGGCCACATTTTGAATGCCCGGAGCCAACTGTAGGCCACTTCGTGTTCTTCGTCTTCCCAGAACACCATTCCCAGGCCGCATTTTGAATGCACGGAGCCAACTGTAGGCCACTTCGTGTTTTCTCGTATTCCCAGAGCACAATTCCCAGGCCACATTTTGATTGCCCGGAGCCAACTGTGGGCCACTTCGTGATCTTCGTGTTCCCAGAACACCATTCCCAGACCGTATTTTGAATGCCCGGAGCCAACTGTAGGCCATTTCGTGTTCTTCGTCTTCCCAGAACACCATTCCCAGGCCGCATTTTCAATGCACGGAGCCAACTGCAGGCCACTTCGTGTTTTCTCGTATTCCCAGAACACAATTCCCAGGCCACATTTTGATTGCCCGGAGCCAACTGTGGGCCACTTCGTGATCTCCGTGTTCCCAGAACACCATTCCCAGACCATATTTTGATTGCCCGGAGCCAACTGTGGGCCACTTCGTGATCTCCGTGTTCCCAGAACGCCAGTCCTGTGCCATATCTTGAATGCCCGAGCTGAGGCAGGCTGAGGCCGAGGCAGGCTGAGGCAGAGGCAGGCTGAGGCTGAGGCTGAAGCACGCCGAGGCAGGCTGAGACTGAGGCTGAGGCAGGCGGAGGCTGAGGCTGAGGCAGGCTGCGGCCGAGGCAGACTGAGGCTGAGGCAGGCTGAGGCTGAGGCTGAGGCAGGCTGAGACAGAGGCTGAGGCAGGCTGAGGCTGAGGCTGAGGCAGGCTGAGGCTGATAGGCTGACGCTGAGGCTGAGGCAGGCTGAGGCTGAGGCTGAGGCCGAGGCAGACTGAGGCTGAGGCTAAGGCAAGCCGAGGCAGGCTGAGGCTGCGTCTGAAGCTGAGGCAGGCTGAGGCTGAGGCTGAGGCTGAGGCTGAGGCAAGCTGCGGCTGAGGCAGGCTGAGGCTGAGGCTGATGCAGGCTGAGGCTGAGGCAGGCTGAGGCTGAGGCTGAGGCAGGCTGAGGCTGAGGCTGAGGCCGAGGCAGGCTGAGGCTGAGGCCGAGGCAGGCTGAGGCTGAGGCCGAGGCAGGCTGATGCTGAGGCTGTGTCTGAAGCTGAGGCAGGCTGAGGCTGAGACAGGCTGAGGCTGATGCTGAGGCAGGCTGAGGCTGAGGCAGGCTGAGGCTGAGGCCGAGGCAGGATCAGGTAGGAATCCTTAGGAATCCCTAGGAATCCTTAGGAGGACTTCTAGGAACCTCTAGGAATCAGGATTCCTAAGGATTCCTAAGGTTTCCTAAGGGTTCCTATGGATTCCTAAGGATGCCTAAGGATGCCTTAGGAATCCCTAGGAATCCTAAGGATTCCATTGGATCCTAAGGCCGTTTCCACTGCGACTGTCATTGCGAATGCGACTGCGACTGCGAGAACAGCAGAATTCTACAACTTGATTCTCACCTGAATCTTAAGGGGAATGCTTCCAGATATGCTTATACTCATCGCTGTTAGGTTTCTTTGCCGGGATAATTTAAAACCAACGCAAGAGGAGCCCAGTGGCAGGGAGCAGAGAGACGACGGACGAAGGGACGACACGACGGGGGAGGGGGGGGGAGGGAGGGGGGAGGGCAAGGGCGCGCGCTCCGCGCGCGCGCCGCTCAGCGCCAGCTGGGGCCCACGCAGCGCCTGGCAGGCAGCCGGTGCGGGTGGGGAAGCAGCGCCGGCGGCGCGCGAGGCCCCGCCGCAGCCAGGCGCAGCGCCCCGCTCCAGGGCGCACAGCACCGCCACGGCGTCGGCGACCGCCGCCGCGCCGAGCGCTTCCTGGCCGCGCACCAGTGCGGCCAGCTGCTCGGCTGTGTCCTGGGTGCCCGGGAAGGCCCGCATGGCGGCTGCCGCGCGCAGCGTCGCCGCATGCGCCCCGTCCACGCAGGCGGCAGCGGGCGCCTTGGGCCGGTGTTCCGTCGCCGCGCGCTGGAGCCCGCGGCCGGCGGCGGCCTGCCGCCGGGCGCGTGCCGGTACTCCGTCGCCTCGCTGGTGCCCGCGTCAGGCCCGTGGCCCGTCGCCTGGCTGGGGCTTGCTCGTTGGGGGGCCGAGCCCGCGCGCCTGCTGTGCCTAGCGCGAGTCGGCGCAGGGTCCGGGCTGCGCTCCCGCTTGTGCCAGCCGAGCCAGGCCCCCTCCAACCCGAGGCCCCAGTCCGCCAGGGCCCGCGCCAGAGGATCCGCGGCTGCGCCCGCGGCGGCGTCACCACCACAAGGCCTCCCGTGGCGGCGCCTCGCGTGGTGGGCCCTGGCGGGAGCGCCTCTGCGGCATGGGGCGCTGTCCCCCGCCTGGCCGCCGCCTCTGGTGTCCTCCGACTGGGACTGCGTCCAGTGGAAGTTGTATTCGCCTTCGATGTCGTGCTCCCCCGCGTCCAGCGCCACGGTCGGCACCGCTGGGGCCTGGGGGATGGCCCGACGTCTTTCGTGCCCGGGGCAGGAGCAGCCGGCCTCGTCCGCGGGCGCCGCAGGGCTCCGGCGCTTCCTCGCGGGAGCCGGCGCCGGCCCCGTCGCCGCGCCTAGCGCGGCGGCAGTTGCGGAGGGTGCACCCTCCCAGTGAAGCCCTCGCGACCTCCAAGACCTTCGCAGGGAGCTCGCAGCGCCACGCGCTCGCGCGGAGCGCCGCCTGCACCGCCTCCGCCCAGAAGCGCCCCGCCTGGGCGCGGCGTAGCGGGGGGAGCTGCTGGCGCCGACGCTCCGTGCCCCGCGGCGCCGCCTCTCCCCGCGGCCAGCTGCCGGCGCTGTCGCCGCTGCTGCTAGCTGCTGCTGCTGCTGCTGCTGCTGCTGCTGCTGCTGCTGCTGCTGCTGCTGCTGCTGCTGCTGCTGCTGCTGCTGCTGCTGCTGCTGCTGGAGTCGGCGCCTCTCTCGTCGGCGCTGCCGGTTCCGCCGCCGGCGCGGGGGGGCCGCCGCTGTCTTCCTCGTTGCGCTGCTGGAGGAGCTGTTGCCGGGGCTCCGCGGTCGGCTGCCGCTGCTGGGGCGCCCTGGGCCGGGGGCGCGGTCTCGGCTGTGCCGCCCGTGCCGCCAGGAGCGTCCCCGCTTCCGGGAATTGCGCGCGCTCCCGCGGCGCTGTCCAGGACTGCTGCTGTCGCCACTGGGGTTCGCTCGCACCGTACCGCCGTCGTCTTCGGGGCCACGACGCGGGCTCTCCGCTGGCCCTGTCGGCGCGGCAGGCGCCGGCGCGCGCTTCGCGGGCGCCCTGGAGCCGCTGCGCCCGCGGCTGCCCTGGCGCCTGCGCCGGCGGCGGGGCCGCGCGCTGCTGCTGGGGCTGCGCCGGCGCGTTGGGCGCCGGAGCCGGGCCGTTGGCGCCTCGCTGGCGGTGTGCTGGGGCCGTTGGCGGCCGAAGCGGTGCCGTCGAGGCCGAGCCCTCGCCAGCCGCGGGCCTGCGAGCTGCTGGCCGCGGAGCGCGGTCCTCCGGGCTCCTCCCACGGGCGGGGCCGGCGGCCGTCCAGCCAGCCTGTCTGGGCGCGGGCCTGGCATTCGCGGGGGCTGGGCTCCTCGCCGCGCTCCGATGGCTCTGAGCGCCGCTGGCGGGGGCGCTCTCTATAGCTGGCGAGGAGCTGTGCCAGGACAGCCCCCCGGCGCCGCCGCGCCTCCGTCGACCCGCCCTCCGGGTCCGGCTGGCGCTGGAGCGGCGGCGCCTCCGCCCGCCCGCTCCCGGGGCCCGGCTGCCGCTTAAGGGCCTGCGGCCTGCGTGACAGTTAACCAGGGGCCCAGCCTGCGGGGAGCGGGTCGGCGCCAGCGTGGAGCGGGACGGCGCGCCAGGCCCAGACCCAGCCCGGCGGGGGCGGCGCGCCGCCGTCCATGCGCCAGCCGCGCGCGCAAGGCCGCTGGGGCCAGCCGCCCGGCTGGCCCCTCGAGCCCGCGGCTACCTCAAGCTCCCCCCCCCCGCGGTTGGAATTTGAACCAAGACGGCTACGGACGCCTTCATTAATTACACACCTCACGCGAATCGTGGCCCACATGGAGCTCCACCAATAGGCCAAAGAGGGAGGGGTCCACATGGCGTCCCAGCGCAAATTTGAGCACGCCCCACAAGTGGAATCTGCCCCAGGGAGCTCCACCTATGGCTCCAGTGGGGGTGCTCGTACGGCGTCCCCGTGCCCACCGTTGGCACACACACACACACACACACACACACACACACACACACGCACAAGCACACACACACGCACACGCACACGCACACGCACACACAACACAACACAACACAACACAACACAACACAACACAACACAACACAACACAACACAACACAACACAACACAGCACAACACAACACAACACAACACAACACAACACAACACAACACAACACAACACAACAAAACACAACACAACACAACACAACACAACACAACACAACACAACACAGCACAGCACAGCACAGCACAGCACAGCACAGCACAGCACAGCACAACACAACACAACACAACACAACACAACACACACACACACACACACGCACGCGTACACACAACACCACTCGTATCGTGCCCTATAAGGAGCCCTACCTACCGCCCTAGTAGAGGTGCTCGCATGGCGTCCTCGCGCCCATTTCGGCACACATCCCACGCAGATCGTGTCCCTAAGGAGTTCCATCTGCGGCGTCCCAGTACCCATGTCGGCACGCTCCTCACGAGGATTCTGTCAAATAGGGAGCTCCGCCCATGGCCCCAGTGGAGGTGCTCGCACGGCGTCGCCGCGCCCATTTCGGCATACCCCTCACGCGGATGGAGCTCCACCTATTGCTCCAGCGGAGGTGCCCGCATGGTGGGCGGCGTCACCGCGCCCACTTTTGCACAACCCCCACGCGGATCGTTCCCCATAGGGATCTCCACCAATGGTCATCTGAGGGTTGGACCCTTCGCATTTCGAATGTTTTTAAAGGTTTTGTTGTTCTCCCCCCTCATTTGAGCCTGTAGGTGCACCCTCGTCGCCACGTTTGCGGCCGCCTTGACATTTTCGCCAGAACGCGCTCCAGAGGAGCCACGGGGCTTTCCTAGGGGTAGGATGTCAGATCTAGCGTGAGCGCACCTAGCTTGCCCCTCGCCCATCTTCCCCCTCATCCCCCTCATCCCCGTCATCCGTCTCTCCCCCTACACTCATCCCCCATTTTCTCTTCCCCCCCTCCATTCCTGATGCCCCGCCTTATCTGCGCGAAACTCGTCGGACGATGGGTTTCCTGCTGCAGCTTTCTCTTCTTGGCTTCCAGTGTGTTGCGATGCCCACATCTCGAGACAGGTTTTTTTTTCTGATTTGCGAAATGCGTCGTTTTCTCTTCCTCCCTTCTTTCTCATTGCCCTCAGTCTCATCCTCCTCCTCCCCTTCCTCGTCTCCCCCTCCCAGGGCATCGTTCAAGACCGCGGTGAGTTGTGGGAGCCGCAGGGATCTCCTGCATGCGGCCCGCAGTCGACCATCTGGCGCCAACCCTCACTGGCTCTCCGTGCCCGAGGCTGGGATTCCAGCGACCCCCGTGAGGGACCAGGATGGGAGCATCTGTCGCCCCTGAGTTCTCCCCCTCTCGAGAGACTGCCCTGCGTCTTTCTTTCTGTTGTTGCTACGCACAGCGTATCGCATAGTGCGTTGTACGCCATGTGCTGTTGCACAAGGCGTTCCAAAAAGTACCTTGTCTTCGAGGATCGAATGGGTTGTCATCTAGTCCTCGGCGGAAGGGCGGCGACATTCAAACGAGGCCGCCTCAACTGGCGGAAGCTCGGCGGAAGGCGGCGGAAGGAAAATATCCGTCCCCAAAAGACGAAAACGTTGTCGTGTCCAGTGTTTCCGAATTCTCCCGTATGGAGCCTGTTTTTTTAGGTTCTGGCAGGTTTACTTGCATGACGCCCCCCCCCCCTTCGCCCCTCTTCAAACAAGTACTAGCGTGCAGCGCCTTTCGACTTGCGCGATTTCCGCACGCGTCAGTCGTTTGCGGCTTGCTTCGTGTTCGGGCTCCCCCCGTCCATGCAAGGAAGCCTGCCGGGGTCTAAGAGAAAACTGGCTCACGGGCTGGCGATGAGCCCTCCTTCCGATCCGCTCTGATCCGACCCTCAGGCGGAGGACGCGGAGCCCGAGGACGACTCCTGGCTGCCCGCCTGGCTGTCCGCTTCTCCCGCGGCTTCCTGCGTCGGCGGCCGGGGGGAGAACAGGCGCCGCTGCTGCGCCCCGACGCACATGGTGGTCCGGCGCTCGGACGGCGCGTCGCTGCTTCCCAGAGGGCAACGTCCAGGGCCCGCGTCGACTCCCCCGACTAGATTCGATGTCGATTTCGATGCTCGATCGATTCCGATTCCGATTCGTCTTCGGATTCCGATTCGGCTCTCGGTTTCTCAGCGGAGGCCTTGCTAGCCTGCCGATTCCCGCCGAGTCGAATTCTCCCGACTTGACTGCCCATATCCGCCGATCCGATTCAATTCTGTCGCCGATCCGACTTATCGATTCGATTCTTGGCTTTCCTGTGACGTCGTGAAACAGCGAGGGCGGAGTTTTTATCGCACGTCTTGGGCCCCCGTCAGCAAAACAACGCTCTGGTTCAAACGCCAGCCCTGGGGACAGGGTCAGATTCGGTAGCAAATCATGGGAACCTTGTATATCTGTGTAGTTCCGTAGTCAGAGTGCACCAGCGTCGACTAGCGTCTGGTAATCTGACATATAGCGCCGATGTAGCGTCATCAGCGTCGATTCAGCGTCGATTTACAAGAGCCCATGAGATGGCATGGGATGCCCCTATGGATTGCCGCAGAAGGCAACGCCCTGGAGCAACGAGGGCGGAGGTTGTGTCCCGCGTCTGGGCCCCAGGGCCGTCAACAGGAAGGCTCGGGACGAGAAACCCGCCCTGGGGACAGGCTCGGCGCTTCAGTGGCCACGTGTGGACTGCACGTCGTAGGTGCCTTGACCCACTGGTGCCGCTCATTCCTGGCAGAGGCCACAGCTTCTAGAAGGCGCGGTCCAGGAGCGGCGATCTCACACCGTCGCGCGTGATCAGTCTGGTCCTCTTTCTTCCCGCCTCTTCCTCTCCCCCCCTGTCCCCCCTCCCCGCTGCTTCAGTGCAGTCGCCGCGCACCGTCCACCGTCATGCCAGGAGGCCCTGGAGGCTTCCGGGAGGCTCTGCATGCTAGGCTCGGGATGGCACGGCCCGCACGCCCCGACGCGCTGGCTCCAGCTTTGCTCTGGAGGTGGGGGCAAGCTCCCCGTGGCGCGATCTCGGTTTTGTCAGGTCAGCTGTGTCCAGACCTGCAGCCTGTGTGTGCACACCAGGGAACGACCCCGATCAGAGGATAGCTTGAAATCGATAGTAAAGTCGGTGGTGATATCGATGGCGAGATCCCGAAATCGGCCCAGAACCTGCAACCGGGAACCCAGGAACCCGGAAGCGGGAACCTGGGAACCCAGCCGGCTACCGAAATCGGTCCAGGACTTTCGCCAAATCTTCCAATATCCGCTATGACCCCTTCAGTGCAACCGCTAATTGGGGATTACGCATGTGCACCAGGTGACACTGCGCCCGTCACATACCAGGAAACTCGATGCACACGGCGCGGCTGGCCTGGGCGAGGTCTGCACACGCGCGTGGCCGCACGCCTTTCTTGGCGCCTCGCCCTCGTGCCGCCGCGTTTCCGCGGGTCTTCCGTGCGTGCATCCTGTGGGTGGGCTCCAAATGTGAGTCCAGCCACGCGCGCGTTCCTCGCCGGGCGCGTTCCACTACTCGCAAAGTGCCTACTCGCATGTCTTCCTCTAGGAAATGCATCGTAGATACCCCGCGGCGGATCCAGGCCATTTGCGAGCAGTTACTTCGCGAGTACTGGAACGCGCTTGTCCAGTTCCAGCCTCCTGACGTTTATCTGCATGCATAGAAAGTGCATGTACACGCACGGTGGGGGCGTTCGTCAAGGAATGTGCCCAGGAGGTTTCATACCCTGGAGGGTGTCTCGTCTGATGCGGGAGGTGGTGATATCTATGGCCAACCCACGAATGGGGTTCCACTTGCTTCCAGGACCTATATTCCCTATCCAATGGTTCCATACCCTCACAGTACAGTGGCCTTGCGCCCATTTCGACACCGCATTCGGGTTGTAGGTCAGAGGCCGCTTGGATGCCCGTGAGATCTCTTGGATGAGGAGGAGGCTCATAAGAAGACGAAGCAGGAGAACAGAAACCATCCTCTGGCGAACCAATCAGAATCTACTCGACGTCTTGATGTGTTCCAGACGGGGCTCCCGGGAGCCCTGACACTTTCCCCAGGGCCAGCGCTTCATCCTGAGTCTTTGCGTGATGGTTCCTGGGCCCGGCGAGGGCCCTTGGATGCCGAAAACTATCTGAGAACTCGTGCTGGTGTGGTTCAACGCGTGGTCGGGCCCCTCTGGCGCGTTCTCGACGAGGCACAGCTGCTGAAGAGCGCCCCGAGGCGAGAGGTGCGCCAGGATTCGACGACGGCTACCGAAGACGGAGAGAGAACACCCGACAGCGACGACGTCCGCGCCCCCCCCCCACCCCACCCCGCCCGAGGCCCCGCTGCAGCTGGAGCCCGCCGCCGCCCCCGACGCCGCCCCGCGCTCCTCGAAGGCCGCGCGGCGGGAGCCGCAGGGCTCGGAGGTCGCCGAGCAGGGCGGCGAGGAGACCCCCCGCGAGAGGATGGCCAGGCGCAAGAGGCCGGCCGTGGGCCGAGCCCTTCCCCGCTCTCCGCGGCTGCGCTTTTGGGAGGGGCCCTCCGCCAGGAGGGCCTTCGGCGGTGCTGGCCCACCAGGGGATCTCCTCCTCCTCCTCCTCCTCCTCCTCCTCCTCCTCCTCCTCCTCCTCCTCCTCCTCCTCCTCCTCCTCCTCTCCTCCCTCCTCCCTCCTCCCTCCTCCCTCCTCCTCCTCCTCCTCTCCTCCTCCTCCTCCTCCTCCTCCTCCTCCTCCTCCTCCTCCTCCCTCCTCCTCCTCGTGCACTCGTGTGAGGCCAGTGGACGGAAGATGAGTTGGGTCCGTCGGCGGAAGAGTCTGGTGTGCTGACGTGGAAGCGATGATGCTTCTTGTTGGTGGTGTTAAGTCGGGCCTGTCCCTCCAAGGACAAAATCATATGGGGATGCTGTTTTGACTATGTTTGATTATTGTTGAGCATCTGTTAACTATTTTTTAAATTTTCGTCCAAAACCCCCTGTAGGAGGACATGCCCGACCGAATGGTAGTGGGCCAGCTTACGATGCCAAACTCCAGCACTGGCCTGCGCGCTTGGGTTTGCCCCCCTCCCCCCCCGCGCCCCCCCCCCCCCGAGCCGCGCACCAGAGGTTCCTGTTGCCCAGGGTCGCTCCCACGTGCAGCTTTTTGCACTGTTGCTCCCGAGGTCTGTCTCGGCCCCCAGAGTTGGCGTCGGCGATCTATAAGTTACCCCCTTCGTCGCGACCCATCCCAGGCTCTGTGCTGGCGATGTGTCCTCTGTTCTGTGCTGGGCTGTGGCTCTTTACTTTTCTCCCATTGCTCGGCCCTCGCTGTCACTCGGACCCAGTGTGTCCTCCATCTTCCAACACTTAGCCAGCACTCGTTAACCCTACATCTGCGGGTTCAATCGAGCCGGGATTCGCTTGGCTGCAGACATCCTTCGGATTCTTAACCCCACCGTGGTTTCAGAAATCTAACCTGCACTGCAAGGTCTGGATTTGAAATGTGGAGCGTTCCATAAAGGCCTCGCCTTCGAGGATAGAAGGAGTTGTCATCTCTTCCTCGGCGGAAGGCAGCGGAAGGTCAGCGAAAGTAAAACAAGGCCGCCTCCGCCAGCGGAAGCTAGCGGAACGGTGGCGGAAGGCGGCGGAGGTAAAAAAATGTGCCCCCAAGAGAGAAAACGTTTTTGGGTTCAGGGTTTCCGAAGTCCGCCATGTGGTTGCTTTCCCACCCATCCCCCTCCTAGAGCCTGTGTTTTTTACCCCGGCAGTTTACTTGCATGGATGGGGAGGGGGGCTGAACCTGAAGCAGGCCGCAAACGATTTGCACGTGCGGAAATCACGCAAGTCGAAAGGCACTTGAGCGCTAGTATTCGTTAGAACAGGGACGAGGTGGGGGGGGCGCGAACGCTATGCAAGTTAACATGCATGAGTCTGAAAAAAAGGCTCCTACTCCTCGGGATCCGCCTCCCGCCACCCTTCGCCTCGCAGCGGGGTAGGCGCCCCCTCGAGAGGATGGCCAGGCGCACGAGGCCGCCCAAGACTAGAACCGGGCATGGCCGCCTGGACGCCGACGTCTCTGGTGGTGTTCGCCCGACCTTTTCTGTGGGATCTTGGCGGCTTTCGAGGCGAGTTCCCCAGTCAGCGCTTGCACTAACGGGGTCCTAGCGGATGTTGGGCGAGTAGGGGATCGACTACATAACTGATTCACCCCAAGACTGGTTTTTCCGGCCGAACCCACAATTTTTCCGTGGATTTGAAAGGAACAGCCAATTTCGGGATACAAAGATTCTGTAGCCGATCCCCCATCCGGTGCCAGTGGGCGGTCGGGTTCCAGGGAGGTTCCTGGAGTCCGGTGTTCGGTTCTTGCGTTCTTGGCAGAGTGGTTTCGGTAAGCGGCCAGATTCGCAGGGTTCCCGGGTTCCCACTTCTTGGGTTCCTGGCAGTATCAGGTTCTGGGGTTTGGGAGGTTGTAGTTGTTGCCATGAGCCTCAGGTTATTGATAGTGTAGTGAAAAGTAGGTCAGAGAGTGAGCAGAGCTGACCAGAGAGAGTAGAGAGTAGACATTGGAGAATTGAAGGTCCCCGAGTCCGCGGTCAGAATGAAAGAGTGGATAATCAGTAGAGAGCAAAGAGTACATACCCGAGAGTGCAGAGCAGAGTGGAGCAGAGAGATTGAAGAGTAATTATTGGACCGTTTAGTGCGCAGTTAATCGGGAGTCAGCCGCATACAGCGTAGAGTGACAGAGAGAGAGAAAGAGGGATAGAGAGAGTAAGAAAAAAAAGAGAGTGAAAGAGAGAGAGAGAGAAGGAGACAGAGGAAGTGAGCACGCGTATATGATGACAGGGAGCACACAGTCAAGTTACTGAAGCGGGCGTGAGGGGTGCCGATGGCAAAGCGCTTTAAGGTGATGATGGAGGTCTCTTGGACCGTCTTGGGGCCCTCTTGCAGGCCTCTTGGGCCTGGGGGTGATCTCGGAGGCCTCGTGGGGACATCTGGGAGGCCTCTTGGGGCGTCTTGGGCTGTCAGAGGCCGAAGAGAACGAGCGTTCACGAGAAATTCAATACTGTGAGGGCGTTCGTTAAGGAACTTGCCCAGGAGGCTTCAGACCCTGGAGGGTTCCTTATCTGACCAGAGTGGCGGTGATATCCATGGCCAATCCACGATTGGCTTTCCATTGAATTCCAGACCCTGGATTCCCTGTCTAAGGTTTCCTTATCCAATGCCATCTCCGTAACGTCAGGCACATCATCGGTATTGGTTCTTTGCTGCGTTCCGCGGGTTCCCTGGTCTTGATTCCTTGCAGCGTTCCTCGAGTTACTCGGTCTTCCTTGCTTTCGTTGTTTTGGTTCGCCACCCCCAAGCAATACCAATCAGCGCCAAACAGTACACAGGCAATGCCGTTCAGCGCCAAGCAATGCAAAGCATTGCAATGCTAAGCACGCGTGACGCGCTCGCTTCTGAGTGTCCAGCCTGTGGGAACAAGTGGCACGTCTGGGCCTGGTCGCCGTATGTCCCCAAGCAATGCCAAGTAACGTCCAGCAGTGCCAAGCAGCGCAGGTTCCTCGGCAATGCCGAGCAATGCGAAGCACCGGGCTCTTGGGGCCCGTCCGCATAGGAGAGCGTTGCATCCTCCCCCTCCAGCTGCGAATGGCAACCCATGGGAGTGCGTTGCTCCCTCCTCCGCCTTTGTCGCGGGCTCCTCGTTCTATCATGTTCTCCCTCCTTTGTCTTCTCCCGCCACGCCCGAATCTAATTGCCAGGCCCACGCTGACAAGGCTAACACTGCCCATTCTCCCTGGCAGTGCAAAGCAATGACAATCAATGCCAGGCAACACCAAGGAATACGCGGCATTGCCAACCACTGCCAGAGCGTCCGTAGGCTGCTAGAGCTGCCAGGGGCCTCCAGAGCGACGAAGATGACGAGGTCAAGGATGAGTTATTCGCATAGATGGTGGTGACGATGACAACGATGACGACAATGACGATGATAATGTTGGTGGTGATGACGATGAGGATGCTGTTGCTGATGATGATGATGATGGGCAGGAGGAGGAGAGATAAGAGGGACGCCGTCAAATGTGACACCTCTCAACTTCACTTCTGGGAGCTCATTGGGGCCGTCCCAGGGTTACCCTGGGCTCCTGGGGAGCAGTCTTGGGGTTCCCTTGGTGTCCGCTTGGGCCGTCTTCGGGCTCTCTTGAGCCGTCTTGGGGTCCTCTTCGCCGTCTGCACGTTCTTTTCCGGCCGTCGTGGAGCCGCCTTGAGTACGTCTTGTGCCGCCGACGGGCCGTCTCAGATCGTCTGTCTTGGAGGCATCTTGGTCCAGTTCGCACCGACGAATACCCGAAAATGCGAGAATGGCAAGATCTTTATAAAAGTTTCATGGGAATCAGTGCTTTTGGCCTCTTCGGGCCTTCTGGCAAAATGTCGGAAAAGCATGGTGCTTGCCAAATTTCCGTATGTTGTAATTTCCTGTTGTAGTTGATTGATTACACCAGAAAATTACAATGTTCTGTCATGTTGGGAATTTCTGATTGATTGAATAATGTGTTGCTTGTTTGTGTAATTTCTGGATTTTCGCAAAGGTCATCTACTGATTGGGTTTTTCCTGGTGCATCTTGTCTTCGCTTAAGGCGTGCAGGCCAGGCCCCAGGCCTTCCTCAGCACGATCCCAGGAGAAGACGCTTGCCCCGGGAGCAGGGTCTGGAGACCTGGGAGCCCCGCATCGGGCATTAGCTGGCCAAGGGGCCCCACCAGATGCAGTTGTGGGTGCCGTCTTTGTGGATACTGCCGTCGGTGAATCTGCTTATGGGGCCACGAAGAGCGTGAAGAGTGTGCCGAAATGTGGCGGGAGCGCCATGCGGACGCTGCCACTGGGGCCTTAGGCGGAGCTCCCTATGGGGCCACGAAACGAATGAGGGGTGCACCGACATGGAAGTGGATCTGCATGCGGGCGCCACTGGGGCCTTCGGTGGAGCTCCCTATGGGGCCAGTGAGGGGTGCACCGAAATGGAGGTGAAACTGCATGCGGGCGCTGCCACTGGGGCTTTCGGTGGAGCTCCCTATGAGGCCATCACGCGTTGGAGGGGTGCACCGAAAATGGCGGTTGAATCTGCATGCGGGCGCTGCCACTGGGGCCTTCGGTGGAGCTCCCAACGGGGCCACGAAGCGTGTGAGGGGAGTGCCGAAATGGGCAGTCGTCCGGAATTGCGTTTCCCATAATTCGAAAAAATATCGGAAACGCAATCCCGGACGACTGCCTCAAGCACACATTGCATCGGAAACGCTTTTCCCCGTCATTCGAATTTCGAATTATGGGGAACGCATTTTCCCGGGAAAAACCGCACTCGATGTGCTGGAATTGCGTTCCCCATAACTCGAATTCCGAAGTTCGGGAAACGCAGTTCCCCATAATTCGAATTCCGAAGTCTGAGACATGCAATTCCAGCCCATTGATTACGGTCTTTCACAGGAAATTGCGTTTCCCATAATTCGGAATTATGGGAAGC